TTGAAGGGGTTTTCCACGTATATCTTGGTGTTCTGTTTGATTGTGTTTCCATTTTATTCTGTTGCGTATTTTGGTCTTCTAGTATTTGTTCCTATACAAATGTTATTCCTATTTATATCCCCATCACATACTTGCTATTTGAGAAGGAGAAGGGGAGAGGAGAATAGGAGGTGGCAACCAAGAAAACCTCTAGCCTATGAGCCTATGGTTCCTTCCTATTTATAGAGGTCCTCTATCTACTTAACTCTAATGGATCCTACTTTATTGGATATTGGATTTTCATCCAACTACCTAAGTCTTTTAGATTAGTAGATCTCTATCCAATAATCTCTCATTGGCTCTTATTGAATGTCATCTATAGGATCTAATAATTCAAGGGCTTATTGGATATCCAATAAGATAGGGGTTCCGACGGATATCTCATATCTAAACCTCTACTCATCGCAATACCTACCATATATGTGTGACATTTTAGGCCCAATATCGAGCTAGTCATGAGTCATACATATCAGAGCTCCTTCTATCTCAATGAATTATTATCTCCATAATAATTCACTCGACTCATCGATCACGGATGTACTATGTCACTACGTCGTAGTCCCCAGACGATACAGGGGAATCCAATCCGTTGGACCTATATATTCTCAATTACCGTGTATTTATAGTCCCTCATTTATCTAATATCCCAAAGACCGTATACCGGGCATGGTGCTATCAGACCTATACGATTTTTACTCGAGTCTCACTCTAATTGGATTCTTCTAGAGAACTCTTTCTCTCTCAATCCGAACGACCCTGATTAGGGATTTGTCTGAGCAAGAACACATGAGATATTCCTCTCATGACATCGAGAGTGAATGATCATCTATCGATGCTCAATAGCCCTCGTAAGGTTACCACTCCCGATGACATTAGATTTAGAACTTCCAGACCTATAAGTCTGATATCAAAGAGTAGAGTATTCATACATAACATCCGTAGTGTCTCAAGTCTTAGAACTATATATACTACTAGGACTATGGAATCGCTGTTTGAAAAATAAGGCATCATCAACCATCCAACATTCCGTGAGCAAATTAATCAATAAACTTATTCCCCAATGAGCACTTGCACTGTAGCCCTAGTCTCCTCACACGAGCAACTATGAGACCAACTACCTCCATCATATAAATAGATATACAATATATCAGTTTATTCGGTTATCTTGATTTCCCTCTCGAGTAACCTATAACCAGGATTATTTATGGTATATGTTTAAAGGTGAATCGGTCTCATTATCATGATCTCATCACAATCCGATTCTCATTGCACAGATCCATATATATGTATATATGTATACATATATATATATATATAAATATGTATATGTATACATATATATATATATATATATATATATATATATGTATATATATATATATATATATATATATACATATATATATATGTATATATATATATATATACATATATATATATGTATATATATATACATATGTCACACGTGCTATCACTTATGTGATTGACTTACAGGGCACATGTTACTAGTACTATCAAGTCTAAGTTAATGGACATTATAGTTTATTTACGTGATATGCAAACTCATAATAAATTATTAATATAATAAAATATATAATTTAAATTAAAAAAATAGATATCACCATTAATGACGGGAGGAGGTATCGTCGTGGAAGAGACCACTAGCAACAGCATTGAGCTGCTATTGCCTACCAAGGTGTCATACGCATGTAGCCTCTCTCGTGCTATCGACAAGCTCAGGAGCTTCTAGTCCTGCCTTAAGTAGATGTGCATCGACTACTTTGGCACTAGGCATATAATAGTCTCCTAATCCCTCTTCCTTCTCTTAGGTGTCTTCATTTCCATTACCTCGTATTTCGTCCTCTCTTGCGCTCCCACCCGTCACACTTATAACATGGTGGTCCAACTCTCCCTCACTTCCGCATCTGACCTATCCTATCTCTACCTCTTTATCTTTGTCCGTCGCTATGATTTCCATTGCTTCCTCTTCCTTGATAAGATAGATTTTTTTAAAACTTAAATTAAACATGTCATTATATTAATGATTTATTGTGAGTCAACATGTCATAATTTTAAAACTTAAGCAAACTCTAATGTCTATCAATTTAGACTTGACGGAAGGAGTTTATATATTATATTTTTAAAAATATATGGGTTATTTTAGACATAAACTAAACCATAAGGGCTTAACTAGTCCATGACCAAACCTATATAGGCTAAAATGGATTTTTTTAAAAAAATAAATTATATATGTTATTATATTAATAATTTATTATGAGTTAACATGTCATGTAGACCGACACTAATGTATGTCTGTTAACTCAAACTTGATATAAAAGGTTTATATGTTATATCTTTTAAAATATAGAGATCTTTTTAGATAGGAGTAAACCATATTCACTACAGTGAATCTTAACCTTATTTTTTTAACTAAATAATAAAGATAATCTTATTGTCGATACTTTTATTCTATGCTTTTTAAATCCTTAAATTGACACTTATATTTCTTGATGGCTATGCTCTTATCGTTGGATTTTGTCACGAGTTAAACATAGTTGACTTTGTCTTGATGGGCCATATGCAGGTGTATAGATTTTGAGATAGTAATCAAGACGACGTGCTAGAGTTGGAAATATATTCACTTCCATATGTCGATGTTTTCTGCTGACTGCTTACCACAAGCAAGAATGGTAAGTTTTGACTGATCTACCAATTTTTCTTACCAGCGCTAGTTAGTTAAGCATATGCAACCAATGACAAAATTGCCAACTACAGTCAGCATTAATTATAGGTGAAATTTTCAGTTTTGGTATTTTTAAGATTTTGTGTTTTCAGAAAGGTTTATAATATGTAATATTCTATTAAGTATTATCATAGGTTTGAACTCAGAGTGAAGAAAATAATAGAAGATAAGAATAATTATTGAAGAAGCTTTATTTAAGAAGCGACGCTCTTCTATTTATACAGGTTGAGAGAAGATTTTCCTTAACAGATTAGAGGATTTTTCTCAATAGAGTAGAGAGATTTCCTCATATAAAATAGAGAGATTTCCTTATATAGTCTGAGAAAATATTATCTACTATCACATAACGACTTATTTAAAGAGTTTTTTCAACAACTCTAGCGAACGAATCAAACCTGATGAGGGATGCCCTGGGGACCCAACAGTGTTACAGTTTGGGACACGCACTGTCCCGCGGTAGCCAGGTCAACCGGAAGGACACCCTCTGACATGGGCAATAATGGCGACACGACCTGATTAACATCAAGCACCCCGGATGATGCCTCGCACCTCGATCAACCCGACAGCACTCGGTCAAACTGACCGGAATACCAACCGAGGCACATTAACACCTTGCTCGGGCTTGGCCCTACACGCCACGCCAACGTAGCTGCCAGACGTTACCAGAAGTACAACCCTGCTCCCTGCAAACGGTCACACCGGATAACGGTAACCCTTCACTATAAAACCCCTTGCCTGCCAAGGGAGGGGACAGGGAAAAAAAACAACCCCCTAGCGACCATCTACTAACTTAATCGTCGGAGGGGTCGGGTCGAGCATCCCGACTCGACCTGTGTGCAGGTACGAAGACGAGGCGCCCTCGACTTGAGGCTCAAGCGAGGAGCCCCTTTCCCGGAGGAAATGGTGACCCACCGCTGCGACTGAACCCGAACCTAGCCTCGTTGGCCCCGAGGCCACGACATAAAGTTGTTCGCAGCAACATTTTGGCGCTAGAAGGAGGGCATGTCGCTAGGACATCTTACGGGAGTCCCCCCCGAGGGGGAACCACTAGTCAATCACCCCTCTACTGGGCGTGGAGATCAGCCCCTTGCCCACGAAGACAGAGAAATCCCGACGTCAACGCCAGATCGCTATTGCCGCTTGTTCAACGACCCAGGGTTGTCATCCCCGGAACCCGCTACGGGCCCCCCGGTCGTGCCTCCCGAGGCATTTCTCGGCCTCACTAAGCAAGTACAGGCAATGGCAGAGATGATGCAGACCTTTGTCCCACTTATCCCCCAAATCATGCGACTGACGGACGCTTTGACCGACCCGACGCAACAAAGGCCAAGCACGGAACAGGCCGCGACAAGTGAAACTCGAGACGGAGCTACGGACCAAAGGGGTTCGCCCGCACACAACTCGCTCGCGCCCCTCCAAGCTGCACAACCCCACTCCGAGCCTGACACCGTATCGTCTGACTCGGCGGACAGCTTTGTTAAAGTGTAACTCTCCCGAGTTAACCGCCGCCTGGACGAGTTCCGATGCGAACTTCAGAAATCGCGGGGCGAATCGAGCGAGGGCGGCTCGGGCGGATCCCCCTTTATTCAGGAAATACAAGAAAAGCTCATTCCCCTCAACTTTAGGGTGCCGACTTTGGAAACATATGATGGCGGCTCCGACCCGGTGGAGCATGTCGCCGTGTTTAGGGCTCATATGGCCCTCTATGGTACGTCCGACGCGTTGATGTGCCGTGAATTCCCAACGACCTTCAGGGGCCCAGCACGCGCGTGGTTTAGTCGGCTGCGCCAATCCTCAATTTCATCCTTCGACCAATTCGCCAGGGAGTTCGAGCAAAATTTCCTTGCCAGCACGCGACCTCAGCCCTCCATGGCCACCCTGCTCGCGCTATCATAGCATGAGGAGGAGACGCTCTCCTAGTTTGTAACACACTTTGCCACGAAGATCCGTGGGTATCCGGACGCTCACCCTTCTTTGATCATGTAGATGTTCCTGACGGGGCTGAAGCCCTCAAGGTTCTTCTGGTCGTTAATTGAGAAGCCGCCGGCCACCATCCCCGAGATGCTCCAGCGAGCCAACCAATACATCGCCGGCGAAGCGCTGGTGGCGGGAAGACGCACGGACGGGAAGAAGCCACGGATCGAACAACCCCGACCCGTCACCTCGATGGCCACGACACAACCCCGCCGGAGGCCTGACCATTCTGAGCCGCGGCTCCCGAGGCCTCCGCCCCTCCCACTGAATGCACCCCGTACCGAGATCTTCCTCCAGATCAGGGAAAAGGGTCTTTTGCGACCACCCAACCCCGTAAAAGCTACTCACAAAGATCGGTCGAAATATTGTAGGTTCCACCGAGACTATGGTCACGACACGGAAGACTGCCGCGACCTCCAGAACCAAATCGAGGAGCTGATTAGAAGGGGGTATCTCGGTCGCTATCTCAAGGAACCCCGAGAAGCGACCCCACGACCCAGGATACCCATCGAAAGACAGATCGACGTCATCTTCGGAGGACCAGCGGCGGGCGGCAGCAGCTCAACCGCAAGGAAGTCCTATGCCCGGAGCATGGTTGAGAAACGCCCCCGACCCGAGCTAGAACCCGAAATCTCTTTCGGGGCCGAAGAGGTGGAATGCTCCCATCATGACGACACTCTGGTGATCTCCATCCAGATCGCCAATGCTCGGGTGAAAAGGGTAATGGTTGACACTGGGAGCTCCGCCGATGTGTTGTACCTCGACGCCTTTAAAAAGCTCGACTTGTCCACCGAGGACCTCATCCCCATGAGCTCGGCGCTCACGGGATTCACCGGGGACTCCATCTCCCCGCTCGGCACCACCACCCTCCCCGTCACCATCGGGGAAGAACCAAGGACCAAGACGATAATGACTACCTTCAAGGCCTCCTCGGCAGCCCAAGCGGAAGACCGGGCAGACTCAATGTCGTTCGAGAGCGTCTGAAGTTCATCATCCAGCGTTCGGGCGTGAGCCTGGCTTTCCTTCAACTCGGCCTTTAGGCGCTTCACCTCTTCGTCCAGAGTCGAGGCGCGCTGTTCGACCGCTGTTACGGCCTCCGGGCCGAACGACTTCCTCAGCTCTTGGTTCTCGAGGTGAAGTGTGGCATAGGTGCCCGATTGTCGCTCGATCACCTGCCCAACGTCAAGGACTCGGTCGATCAACGACATAGCGTAGTGTTGACCCTACGCCAGGATCAATATCAAGACCCACATAAGAGAGTGGGCAAACAAAGGGAGGAATGCCACTACTCACCTAGACCAATGACTTGATCGCCCGATCCGCCAGCACCTCCGAGGTGGAAACATAAAGTTCCTTAGCCAATGCTGGGTGCAGCGCCCCCTGGATAAACTCCTGGGCCGCCGACCCATCGGCCTAGACGCGGGTGTCTGCTTTGAGGTCGGGCCACCGAGGGGCATAGGAGGTTCCCGCCGCGCCAGTAGGAAGGTTGGTCATGCTCAAGGCCTGGTACCCCTCGCCCTCCAACCGACTGACGCGGCATAAGTCCCGCATCGACTTCGGGCGCGCCGATGCCCTCTGGGCGGGGTCACCACCAGACAGGTTAATCGCCTCCTTGCCTTTAGCGCTCCCCGAGCCCTCACCTGGTGGAACAGCTCCCGTCAGTCCCGCGGAGTCACGTTCGCGAGCGACCGACCTCGCGGACACCTTCCTAACCGCAGTCTTCAGTTTCTTAGCAGGCCGACTCGTGTTCGGAGAACCCGACGCACCCTCAGACGTGCCCCTTTTCGGGAGATCTCCAGAGCCGTTGCCACCCCGAGATGGGGCTGCAGTAGGTCTGGTGTGAGGCGCTTTCTTCACAGACTGAAAGTTCACCATCTCTGCAAAAGGAAACTCGATCAGTCAAATAGCTCAGGACGAAAAACAACGTACAACATGAAGACAACCATACCCCCAGCAACCGGGCTCAACCCCGCATCGGCCAGCCACTCCTCAGTCATCTCTTCGATCGCTCGAGAAGAAGACAGAATGCTCCTTAGACGATTCACATCCGCCGACTCTTTGCCTGAAAGCAGCGGGAGGACATTGTCGACAGTACGGGAGGTCCATCCAGTGTTGAAGCCCCACCCCCGACTGCAACTGACAAAGAAGAAGCGGCTCTTCCAACCTTTGTTGTTGGAAGGGGCGCCACTGATCTTGAACCCACTACGGGCGGCCAAGTAATAACCGCCCCGACCACTACACAATCGAAAGTAAGCCAGAAATAGAGCCCTAGACGGTTCTATCCTGGCCGCACGACACTCCCCGAGGAAGACGACCAAATAGCGCCAGGAGTTTGGCGCCATCTGAGACGACGATATGCCCCACTTACGGAGGCAATCCTCGATCACAGGATGAAGGGGGAACCGCAGGCCCGCCTCAAGGGCACCCACCGTCAGCCCGAATCCTTGGGGAAACTGATCATACGGTCGTTGACCCGGACGAGGGGCAAACAGGCTATAACTTTCCGGGATACAATAACGAGCCTGAAGCTCCCCCAGAAATTCCTCCGTCACCACTGAATCTATGTCATGCCACAGCTTGAGGCTCGCATGCAGGGCAGAACTCCCCCTTACTTCTAATGATGCGTCCCCCGGAGACAAATGCCTAACCCCGGAGCCCTCGGGAGAAGAGGTAGAAGAGGATGAGGAAGGCGGAGACATCCTAAACTCAAGGCAGTAGGGAAGAGGCTGAGTCGAGGGACAGAACAAACAGGGGGCAGCGGCGGCTAGACGAAGTAACGGCGACCAAACAAAGATAGGGAAAACCCTTCTAGGGGAAACTTATGTAGAATAAGTCGAAGGCGATGATCGAGCTTCCCGAGGAAAGAAAAGTGATTCGCGGCCCTCGAAACCATCAGGACTCCTCAGGGCCCCTAGATTCGCCGATCTCGGAGATCCTGCCCAGAAGCGCCCCATCCCCAAGACCGGCGCCGCCCCGCTCGGAGCACCATGTGGCACGCAGCCCCAACGTGATGCAACTCCTCGCCCGCACAGACCACAAGCCCGAGTCGCTCCGGTTCGATCTTCGACTTGCGACTCGCCGGCCCAGGCCACAAGCCCGAGTCGCTCCAGTTTGATCTCCAACTTGCGACTCGCCGGCTCAGCTCATAGCCCGAGTCGCTCCAGTTCAATCTCCGACTTGCGACTCGCCGGCCCAGGCCACAAGCCCGAGTCGCTCCAGTTCGATCTCCGACTTGCGACTTGTCGGCTCGGCTCATAGCCCGAGTCGCTCCGGTTCGATCTCCAACTTGCGACTCGCCGGCCCAGACCACAAGCCTGAGTCGCTCCAATTCGATCTCCGACTTGCGACTCGCCGGCTCGGCTCATAGCTCGAGTCGCTCCAGTTCGATCTCCGACTTGCGACTTGCCGGCCCAGGCCACAAGCCCGAGTCGCTCCAGTTCGATCTCTGACTTACGACTCGCCGGCTCGGCTCATAGCCCGAGTCGCTCCAGTTCGATCTCCGACTTGCGACTCGCCGGCCCATACCACAAGCCCGAGTCGCTCCAGTTCGATCTCCGACTTCCGACTCGCCGGCTCGGCTCATAGCCCAAGTCACTCCAGTTCGATCTCCGACTTGCGAATCGCCGGCCCAACCAACCCCCACAGATGACCAGCACGTCCGAGGAATCTAGACCTAGGTGCGCCTCTCGTCCACGCAATTTTCAAAAACCACACGACACGCCTCCGCATGGGGGGGGGTGTCACGCCCCTCAAAATATCGATAATATTTAAAATTTTCATCATAACTAACCCAGGATCCAAACACAAATTTGAGGTCACTAAGAAAACATTCAGATCAAAATTTCACTTCTATAATCTACCAATTCATAACCCTGTGCAATTCATAAACATAGCACACATCACTCGATAATTCATACAGTCTAAACTCAACTCATCAAAATAATAACCACAAAATAAATTCACAAGTGGGGAAATCTGTGCAATCACCAAAATCAACGATTTACCATAAGTTCATATCATTACATGAATTTAATTTAACATTCCAAAACCCTATACACGAGGGA